TTTTACTCAGCCATAAATTGGGAACCATAAGTCACATGAACTTGAAATTCGGTATTCAGACATAGGTATCTATGGGAAGTGTTCAGAGTAAAGTATATATAAATGAGTTTGTAAAAGGGGTATATACATATATTTATTCATCTATTAGATACTTCGGATATTTAAAACTGTGTATTTTTATTTTTTTTTTTTTTGAAACCTTACCGTTTTTAGATTATTTTTAAATGGAAAGATTAAATTGTTTTTTAATACTGCGATGCTGTTAAAGGAAAAAGGTTCATTCACAATGAATAAAACTCCTTCCGAATTAAGCATTCTACCAGAAAAGTGCAGCTATAGTAAAACAGCTAATCGAATAGGCAGCTAAACGGAATGTACCGTAGTAGACTAATTTTAATTTAGAAATTTGATCGTTACCTTAATCCACCTAATATTAATAACGGAACAAGATTTGTAGTACAAGTGATGATCAATATATATTAGTTAAAGCACGATAAAGCTTAAAGTATGGCTCATAAGGATGCCTTAATGTAAACAAAGAAAATAGTTTGTCTCCTCTAAATTATGCTGAGCTGAATATTTGTATTACTGTTTTATATTTTTATTTGTTTACTTCGAACGACGTCAGGTGCTCTGCTAGTATGCATATAAATGGAAGAAATTGTAATAGACAAAAGGATATGCCATAAACGATTGATCTTAATTGTAGAAATTTTTTGACAACACTGAATCACAAATTTTAGGACCAATTTCAGACGGCCTATTTAAGTAGAGATTCAGTTCTGACACAGTTCAAACTACGAGCAATTATTTACTGCAGTGGAATTATGATAATCGCTACACTAAATTTTTGTCGCTAAAATTCTCTAAATGAAAATCAGTGGGGGGAAAAGTATACACCGTGGAGAGTAACACATGTAATCTGTAATCAGTCAAATCTGGCAGTATGAGGGAATGTGACTAGATGTTGCGCGTTGTTAGGGTCGCCTGCTATTCTTTTGGAGATTTTTGGCGATCGAAATTAGCGATAGCAAATGTTAGAATTCGGCTGCTGGATTAGTAATTTTTTGGAACTTACTGGCAACTTTGTAAATTTAAAAATATAAGTTCATTGTAACCGCCCAATTCTGAATTTTCTTGATAAATTAATTGTAAAGAAATTCTATTAAGATTTTTATCACGTAAAAGCTCCTATCGCATTTTGTGTCAATATCAATATGAGTAGAACTGATTTCATTGTCACATATGAAAAATATGAATTTAAAATCAAAAAATCTTTTGGGTGTCGTAGCCGAAAGGTAGAGATGTCGGCTATAAATTCTGTTTCGCAGGTTCAAATGCCGGCACATGCAGTATTTAAATCATTGTATAGGCTTACAAGTATGGAAAGCGCCATTTTGTTTGTTTACATTTGAAAACAGCTGAGATCACCTGATTTTCAATTCTCTAATTCTCCGCACAGAGTTACATTCAAGTTTCAGAAAAAACTTTAAAATGTAAATTGAGAAATATTTTAGAAAAATATGTTTTTATTCATTTGAATTCAATAAAAAAGAAATTAAAAATGCGTGCCAAGTCTTGCATTTCCAATAATAACGATAAATGTGTATGTTCCAGGCAATAATTTAAAATATTTGTGAAACTTATCGTTTGCGCTAAAATACATCAATGTGTGTGAAATTCGTTGTCATTGCTTTTGTTTTGAACATCATATTCGTGCCTGCCGGTGGAAAAATTAGGTAAATTTGCATTTATTTTTAAGAAAACATATAAATTAATGTATATTTCTTTCCAGAGCGACATATTAGTGCATTGGTAAAGTGCTCTTATCATTGTGTTATTGTCAACTGCAGCCAATCTTCTTTGGACAATAAGTTGTATTGGTGGAGCAGTTTCCTGAGCTTTGGAAGTGTTTGGGCTTGTTCGAGTTGCAATTACAACTGTAGTGTTGCGTGAATAAAGCATCACGTTCGCTGTGAATTTCTAGCAACGTTTTACCAATTAGGATGTTGGAACCGTCTTGCAAATTTTCATCAGCGCTGCAGTTTTTGTGCTTTTATTGCGTGCCTCGAGCAGGCCCTTTATCAGTGAATAGTTGTGGTTGTTGTAGTAGTAGCCGCATTACGAAGCCCGGCCTCAGTCGGTTTTCCATCAACAACAACGACAATAATAACCTGTTTATGCATTCCTGTTTTATTGCATTCCCCTTTCCAAATTAATATTATACTATGTTTAAGGCTCGGTGAAATAAATGAAGGTCTACTGGAGGCAAATTAAAATATCTCCCTCAGCAAAAATGAGACTCTCGCTCATGATGAAAGCATGTTAATAGTTTATTCTTTGAAACATCACCGACATAGTCATATTCTAAAGGTATACATTGATGTTTTTCATGTTTATAAATTTTAATTGATATTTTTGTTTGTTTACATATTTGACATTCACCACCAGCATCATCAACGCCATCACCAAATTCAATGCCATCAACACCATCAGCGGCTAATAACAATGTTATACCACAGATTTATGGCGAATTACAACGAGGCAAAAAACATATACATATGTAGGAATTGTAAAATTCCTAAAATTTTGCAAAGTTTTAAGAAAACTGCATTTTCTTGAACCACTATAAATGATTTCCAATTGT